ATCTCAAAAATATATATAATAATACTTAATCAAAAGCATACTAGAACTCTAGAAAGCCAATGTTTCTTGAGAAATTACCTAACGCCCATTCTACCAATAAGACAGACATTAAAAAAACAAAAAAAAAGAAATTCGATGAAGATAAAACTGCTTCAATAAAACCCGAATGCAGCTGTTCTCAATAAAATCGTCTGGTTGCAATACCGCTTGAAAAAAGGACTAAGAAATCAATTTATCGTTTGCATACATTACTGAAGACTCGGTCTGTCCTTGAGCCAATGTCTTCTGCCTATAAAACACCTTAGATACGATTTCAATAATAACGATCTTCTATTGTGAGTAGTTCTTTTTTATAAGATAAACCGAAAACGAGGAGACGGATCATCATGGTAAGCAATTGGCGTCGCCCATGGATACTCGAAAGACCAGTGGCGTAACAAGTGCGTTACCGGCGTTTTGGAGATAAGGATTTTAAGGATTGTTAGGGATTCAGGGATTGAGGAGAATGAGGAGGGGGATAATTGGGCACATGACATAATAAATAGTGATGTCTTTTATTCCCCAAAAAGTGTACAATATGTGCATAACATATTGTACACTGACACTCACCAGTTTAAAAGGGCCCGGCGATAAATATTACATTTACAGATTGACTTTTCATACGCAAAAAAATCAGAATATTTTTAAAGGGGTTAAGTCAAGTCATCAAATGACTTATGCCGCCCTGAATCATCCCGTTTCTACTCAATGAAACTCGACCAACGAGACATTTATTAATATTATTATTTGAGTAATACAGTTCCTGTTTTCTTACTTCCAGCTACCACAATGGTTACCAACACCACCCTACTCCTCATCTTCGTGACCCTGGCATCGGTGACAGCTCAGACCTTCCAATACTCTCGCGGCTGGACGAACGGCAAGAGAGACGGCCACAAGAGGACCGAGGACCTGAGGGACATCGCTAATAACATCGACAAGATCCTCTCGCCTTGCCAAATTAACAAGCTCAAGTACATTCTTGAAGGGAAGCCGGTTACTGAAAGGGTTGGTATATTCATTCACTCAAGTAATTTAATATTAACAGGACTACTTTGGTATTGTTTTACATAAAGTATTTACTTTATACTTCTACTGATAGCAAGATCGAAACGAAGTCTACAATCCGTCGGGTGGTAAGCGAGTACGTAAGTACATTTACAATACCAGAGGCATCGCAAGTGCATTGTGAAATAATTAGTGGAAGCTGTTTTTGGGATAAGTGTCCCCGAAAATATTTTTCTTAACACGATCAATATGCTAACAATAAACCATCTTTTTGACACAGTTGCTGGTTCCCTGCGACTTGTTAGAGACCGAGGAATCTCCAAGGAGGTACACAGACAGAAATCTGGACGCGCTCATGGACGCTTTTCATTGAAAATCCCGTACTCTAGTCATGTGCCAAACAGAAGAAATATAATGACATTATTGATATTATTATTTCATAGTCATTAGTTAGGTAATACAAGGACCATTTTGATAGATTTTATTATTGTAATAATGTTAATTAAATCTCTGTAAGTATTCAATTATTTACTCTTTCAAAGTAATGCATTTATGGCTGGATTTGTGCATTACTAAAACGTGAACACAGATTATACAGAAAGTAAATTCCATTCGTTCATTTCGTTCATTCTTTATTTTTTCTTGATGTATCTGTGGTAGGCGGGAATTTTAAAAAGTTTGTCATGGAAAAATAAATTCATATGAATTAGATAATAAATAAATCATTGTTTAGTCATTTCAATATGTGGTTTGGCTTATTATGATGTAATATGTGCTATTTCAAGGTGCAATCCTACATACATACTAAAAATGTAAGAGTTTAACGATGTTAAAATGTTGACAACAATATTGTATTGTAACTTATATTGAAAATAAAAAGGTGAAAAAATAGCGTCTGTTACCTAATTTCTTTGTTTTTTTCTTATAACAAGACGGCATAACAATAAGTCCCTGAAGGGGTAAGCAAGAGTGGTAACAGTGTCCAATCGTTTCTCCGCCAGTTCTGATTATTTAATTCTTTTGAAATAGTGAACAATTACCCGAAATTGGCTTTTAAATACCATAAACTGTTTTGTTCTGTTGTTGTGGCCTGGAGGTTAAGGCGCCCGGTTCTCATGCATGAGGGTGCGGGTTCCAAACCTACCAACAGCAAGTAGGTACCAATGTGATTTATTCCGAGTTATAAGTATGTACCTACTTTCAAAGATTATATAGACACCACTGACAAACGGTGAAGGAAAACATCAGGCGGGCTTATAATTTCTAATTTTAAGTTTGAAAACAATTCAGTCCGAAATGAGCAACCGTAGTGACTAATGCTCAAACCTTCTCAGTCTGAGAAGAGGCTTTGTTCAGCAGTTGGCATTTAAAGGCTGATGACGATGAAACTATATTGTTCTGTTACTGAGAATTACGAAAGTTGAATGTAAGTACAATTACCACAAGAATGTGGTACTAGTAGACACTGGTATTTATTACAAAAATAGATTCAGTATAGATATGGTTCCTGTCTGACATTTAACAAAATTTTCGTCGAACGAAGTCTTTACCAACCAATAAGGTGATACCTGACACTCCTGACAGTATAAGTAAGGGTTTAGTTGAAGTGATAGGTGCGTCGTATTTAGTAACTTTTAGTTAAGTAATGGTTTAGGGATGATGGGTCATAACGCCGCCATTAGTCTCTTAGTTCTGTCGTATTAATACTCATTTGTCTTTTTGAACTCTCAAACAATGTGTTTTGTTTTGGTAACTTTCCCGTTAGAGGGTTAAGTGCACTTCATTAACTATAATTAAGTAAGCAGGTACCTACCAACTGAAGTTTTCAAAAATAATACAGTCATTTGGTATTTTTACTTGGAAAGTTTACCGGGAGTTTTGAAAATTGGTAATTTTATAGATTTTGACGTGCTCTTTCCGAATTTGAACTTTGCCACCTCGTATCTTAGCCGCTCGCGCCGCCATATTGAAAAAATGGCGCTTAAAAGCAGTTTTTTGATAATAACTCCTTTCCGACGCATTTTACAAAAAAACATATCTGTACAAAATAATAGAAGAGAAAATTTGCTACAATTTATGTCTTTACCTTTTTTTGCTAAAACCAATAATTTCGGCGTACGAGCGCCGTAAAGTGTAGTTCAACACACGTTTCGGCAGAAATACTTATATGGCATTTTTACCAATTTTCAAAACTCCCGGTAAACTTTCCAGGCAACCTCTATTTTTTTACCAAATTACTGTACTAAAACACATTCTTCCTAATAGAGTATGCTTTGATATTTTGTTTATTTATCTTTTGAGTATTGCCGAAACGAAAACAATAGGATTAGTTTTGACGCTAGTATAAGATGAAGTTTAATTTTAACATAACATTTAATATTACATCACGCCTTTTATCTCCGAAGGGGTAGGCAAAGGTGCACATTATGCCACTGTACAATGTAACACGGCCACTTTTCACTATTTATGTTATGAGTCCCATGTAATAGGGGGTGAGCCTATTGCCATATACCGAGCACAATTCCAGACTTCGTGCTACTACTGACATTTTTTTAAAAACCCAGTAATACTTTGCCTGACCCGGAAATCGAACCCGAGACCCCTAGCCCGGCATTCGCACTTGCGACCACTCGGCCAACGAGGCAAATTTAATATTATTTAAAAAAAGAAATGTTAATTTAGTGCCATCTATGAAAATAAAAACTAACTACGTACTTCAGTATTACTTCAAGTTCCAGTTGATATAGAGCCATCTAGCGTCGAAAAGCAGAAACGAGATACGGTTTATGGTATTAGTTACTATAATGATTCAGCTACTCGTCACTAGATGGCGATAAAAGGAGTAATAGAAATTTTGGTCATCATAAAATAGGCGGTTTAATTATTTATATTAAATTGCTATTTTGAAAATTGATGATTTTAAATTATAAAATCATCGAATCCAATGAAACATTTAAATTAAAGGCCATTAAAATACAAGCTTACTAATAAAACCCTTAAACATAATCCAATAAGGCTCAATATCGCGTAACGCATACGCAGTTAATTTCGTGCGCCATCCATCATTAGTGAACAACCATCATTAGAGTTTGAGGGCCACAAGTTATGTGTTTGAAGCATTTAAAAGCAAATTAACTTGAACTAACTTCCATTGTAATTGCACTTAGATACGTACCTATTTTTTGTATTAAAGTCATGGAATTAAAGTTGATAAGAACATGTACAAATAGAAGTATATTACTGCCTCGTTGGCCGAGTGGTCGCAAGTGCGACTGGCCGGGCAAGGAGTCTCGGGTTCGATTCCCGGGTCGGGCAAAGCATTATTGGGTTTTAAAAAAAATCTCAGTAGTAGCACGGAGTCTGGAAATGTGCCTGATATATGGCAATAGGCTCACCGCCTATTACATGGGACTCATAACATAAATAGTGAAAAGTGGGTGTTACATTGTACAGTGGTATAATATGCACCTCTGCCTACCCCTTCGGGGATAAAAAGGCGTGATGTTATGTTATGTTAGAAGTATGTTAGGAGTACCTATGTAAATGTATTAAAAAAACGTAAATAAAATTTTACTACGCACCTATTGTCACTGCGGTAACACTCGATGAGGTAGGGAAAAGGGTTCGGGAGGCTAAGGAGGGGAGTAATTCGGCCTCCGATAACCTCAGTCACACGACGAAACACATCGCAAGCGTTGTTTCACGTCGGTTTTCTGTGAGGCCGTGGTATCACTCCGGTCGAGCCGGCCCATTCGTGCCGAACACACTTGAGCTGAATGACTTTAGAAGATTCAAAAATGAAATGAGTAGGTAATAGAATACATATCTAATACATAGATTAGGTAACTATACGCCGTGAAATCTATTTCGTTTTATCCCGCGGCGTAACAACTTGCCATAAGATGTTTTTTCGATGTATAAAGTAAAAATAAAAAAATAAAGATGTCATTTTTTTAATTTATCATGGATACGCACATGAAACACTAGACGTAAATTTGTGCACTATGCGCATCGCACGTGTCACGCGACGAGAAATGCCCCTTCGAGAAGTTGCGTTTTTTTAAACTATTGTATTATCAAGATAGAATCATTTCGATATAGAATTCACGATGTAATTTACACGCAGAGGTTTTTTTAAGGAGGGAAAATCATCGAATGCCATCGCCAGCACGTTTTCTCATTCGGGAGGTCGGATACGCAGAGGTTGCACCTGAAAGCAAATATCCTTTTTTTATAAAAACGTTTCCCAACACTAGGGTTTTTTCCTTGGTCGTGGGTGTGTTTACAAACATACAAGTTCACACACACAAACACATTGCACTTATGGGTTTATGCCCACTCGATAATATGTACATGATGAGATGGATATGTGTATCACTTAGCTACATATATAAAACATCCTTAAACAATATAATCATAAAAAACCCACCTACATAAATATAAAAATAACCTCCATTAAAAAAAACCCCAATCGTCAAAACCTATTTAGTAAAAAAACTACTTAAAGTGTAATTACTTCAGATCAAATTACGTAGTTATAGTTTATGCATGATTACAAGTAAATTGCTTGTATGGCCAACGAGCGAGTAATGATGGCTCAATGTGTAGCTGATGAAATTGGTCGTCTCGAGACGTACGGTTGAGACGTTTAGCTGTGTAGAGTTGGGGTTGTGTCGATAGATTTTATTTGCAACTAGCGATCCGCCCCGGCTTTCCACGGATGCAATATGCATGCATTATACATATAAACCTTCCTTAAGAATCGCTCTATCTATTAAAAAAAACCGCATCCAAATCCGTTGCGTAGTTTTAAAGATCTAAGCATACATAGGGACAGGCAGACGGGGGATAGCGACTGTGTTATACTATGTAAAGTGTAAAAACGAATCTCTGTTGCCTACTAAGACTCTGTTATTTATCTGTCTGTCAGTCAGTAAGCTGTATCTCCCTCATGGACTGTGATAGCTATATACTTACCTACTTGGTTGTAATTTTTAGGAATAATATATTTCTGTTGATTTTATATATTTTTTGTATATAACAAGAAATAAAATGTAACAAAATTAATGAATTGATTAAATTATGTAACAAACTTCAGTTTTTACTGTTGTCGTGTCTGTCTTGTGAAGGAAGTCTTCAAGTTTCATTAAGAGTTACAGTTAAATAAAATGTTACAATAGTAGGTGTGTAGTTAAAATCTAAAACAAAGCAAAAACATATTTTTTACTTTTTGTTTAAAATGAAAACTAGTAAAACAGTACCCCCGAACAAGATATGTTTTAATTTGAACACTATTTTTATTTTTATTTATTTTTAATTTGAACATTCAAATTAAGAATGCTCACCACATCTTTAATTCCGATTTCCTGCTGAATATTCTAGGTTTCGTAGTTACTGTACTGAACCGAAATCGTAGTTAATAAAATATAATTATAAAAACTACCATATACTGAATAGTGGTAATCATTTCTATTCTTCTAATTTGTAACTCCAAACGAACGAACCATTAAGAGATAATTAGGAAAATAACTAGCAACGTAATTAAGAATCGATATCGATACTCGGTCCGCCGCACTGCCCTGTCGATTGTAAGAATGAGATGCCATAGACTTAAATCCGTTTCCCGCCATCGCACAATCTGTACCACGCACCGACCAATCGCGAGCGCGGAGGGCGTTGCGCGACTGCCAACCACCGCCGCTGATTGGTTGAAAATATTAAACGGGTTGCTCATAATAAAAAAGAAAAAAATGTATCGCAGCGTAAACCTTACAATTGAGTGCCACTTTTTGCTCGTGTTAAATTGATGAAAAAAGACTAGGAAAAATTGGTACAGAAATGTAATACAAAATGATTTATTATAGCAGTCTCTCAACTTTTTA